TAAATATGGCGTCTGAACCAGTGAATTCTGCAACAAGAGACAAGCTTATTGATGAACATTGTTTTCTCAATGAAACTTCAATTCTGTTAAATAGTTAATATTTTCATAGAATATTCTCATTGGATGTTGCTTCATTGCATTTCATTTTGTTCAAGAACTTTTTTTTCCTTTTTTCTAAATATAATAGATGATTATTATACATTGTAAATGTAGAAATGACAAATTTAAATTGACCTTTTTTCTATCACTTTAAGTAATTTAATACAAGTAAATTTGTCAAATGCTACTGAAGTTACTTTTATCTTATTGAGTCAAGTTTAATTTTCAAAACAGGTTGGGTGTTGTTTAATTTAACATTGTATGTCTGAATGTCACTACCCGCCCACTTGACCACTATCTTATATACTTTTTGGTAATATAGACAACTAAAGATGTTATAAAAAAAAATATAAAAAATGCAGTTGAAAGATGTAATTCACGACAATTTAACATATTTAACACACTAACATTACTTTCAAAATAATTCAACACGTGCATCGCACGGGCAGAAACTAGTATATGAAGAATATTGATACTAAACTTTTTAGGTATTCATAGGGGTTGTTTGAGACCCATTTTTGGTATAGTAAGTTTTATAATAGTAATTTTTGAAGTATGTGTTGTTAAAAAATAGACAAAATTTTTAGGTTATCGCGTAAAATTATTTTATTGGAAAAATGCGTGATTAAAAAAAATTGAAAAAAATGAATTTTGATAAAATGAGACTCAAATAAGGACAAAATATTGTGCAAGCACATAAAATTCGTTAGTCATAAATTAAAACAACAAAATAATTTTAACAAATCGTCATAGTAAAGGAACATGAAAAACCATTGAACATTTTTTTTCTGCTCATCATCCACAATTTAGCAGCATAAATTTGCCTCCAGTCACATGATCCATAATATTTTTGTACATTAATTAAGAGAATCCAAATAAAAAATGATCTTCCTTATTAGACCACTCTCGGTTCAAAAAGACAAAATAATCGACAAATCAACCTGGCACCAAATGGACAATTTTGAAGGAGATTTCAATTTGATTCGATTCGATAGTTTTTACCTATACCACTAACTTTAACATAAACAAAAAATAAGAGGAAGGGATATACTAATTATAAGCAATACACCATGTTTCTTCCATGTGAACATCTATAATATATTAAATATCGCATGGAATGAGAATCATTTTCTTGACGATTTTAGCCATACTACAATTTAATTATTTCAATAGTACCTTACTTTTTGTTTTTAAATATATATTTAATTGAATATTAATTATTAAACATGCACACAAATAAATAATTGAATTATCCGTGAACAATCAGATTGATTCATGAGCATGGAATTTAATTAATTTGATTCAATGAAAATAGAAAAAGAATAATATATATACATTTAAACAAAGGTGGTGTAAGTGAACCAACATAAAATTTAATTAATTTGAATTAATAGATATAGAAAAATAATAATTTATATACATTTTAAACAAACGGGGTGTACATGAACCAACATAGAATTTAATTAATTTGAA